AGTGAGCGAGCGGCTGTGTGGGGCTTAGTTGCCGGCTGGGGTTAAACCACAACAGTTACCTCATGAATGCACCCTTTGGTTTAGTAGCTGTTTTACTGTGCACTTATTCATGCTTCACAGCTACACAAGCAGGTAAGAGAAGGTGTCTCCTCTTCGTCTGCTGGCAGGGGTAGGATGCTAAGGTTTGAAAGCACTGCTGCCATGCAAAGGAAGACAGCGCTCTCCTCCCTTGTGCCTCATGCGCAGATCTTATGGAGTATAACAGTGAAAAGGTACTAAAAAGCCAAAGACATCTGCATGCATCATTTGCATTAATTGGATTGCCCTTGTAATAGTCTTTCCCCTCCTACATATTCACATCTATATTTCCTCCTGCTTGTTCACGCACATCTTAACACTTTTTATTCTGTTGAACACCATATGCATTTCTTCTTAATATTCAGACACATCTGTGAACAGGTGCTGAACAAATGCTAAGTGCTAACATGCCAGCTTTCTGTCCCGTTTTTGTCAGTATTCAGCAATCTAGAGGACAAGCACTCAGTTTGCAGAGTAGCTTTCAGATTTAAGAAAACTCACAGAATATTTTAAAAACTAACCATCAACTCGGTCTATTCTCTGCCTAGACCTACTGAAACCTGTTGTATCTACATTCAGGTGCCCAAAGGCAGCAAAAAGAATGAATATAAGAATACTCTCCTGAACATTTCAATCTCCATCTTGCACTAGATAAACCTTCATCTCAGGTTTAAAGTACATTTAAGGTACAGCTGAGAGCATAACGACAGAAAAACTCACTAACAGCCTTAAAATATTTTATAATCAATGGATTCTCAGGAAGCCAAGGCATTAGAGGAGCAGGGACTGAAGAATTTTTAAAGTGTGAAGATCACAGTAAGTGAATTCTATGCCAGAAAATTCAGGAAAGCCATTTCAGGGAGAACTGCAATGAGAGATAGGGAGAAAGCCAGGCTCTGGAGAGCAAAGCCCCTTTGGGCTCACTTATAAAAAGCCCATAAATTCATAGCTCTTCACCTGTAAACCTATTCAGATCTGCAACCTAAGGGCTGTCAATATTTGCAGTTGAAATTCAGTTACATCTTCACATTTAAATAAGAAGACTCTCCAAGGAGAGATACATTTTATCAGCAACAGTACCAGGGAAAGGTTCCTGTCGTAGAACATCTTCTGCATACCGAAGAGGGGATGTCTGCCAGCCAGGCACTGTGGAGGACAGAGGATGAATGTTGAAAACTATGGGGGCTCTGGATTACCTCTGATCAGGAGTTTGGCACACGTGTTGCTCTCCGTATCCCAATTTCTTTACAGCTTATCTTCCCTAGAAATACCAACGCTATTCAAGTTCACTAAGGACGCTTTCCCTATCTCTCCATACAGGGCACAGACATAATGAGATAGGGCTCGCTAATGGAAGCAACCTCCAGGACACTCCCTGCTATGAATTGTGCTGCCTTTTGTAATGAGATACCTACAGATAATAACAGCCTTCAGGTGTCCACATCCAGAATGCCTCCGAATGACCTCATGGACTGGCCACACAAAGGCTC